AAGCAAAGGAAGCCACAAGCTCGCCTGGGAAGCCTTTTCCCACCCATCCTACTCGGACTGTTCTGGTGATCTGGCAGCTGACAAGGGCTCTATCTAGCACCACCGAGCCTCCACCATGAGCTCCTGCTGTTCTAAAGGACTGATGCGATGTGATGGCAGCACTTGGGACATGTGCCAATCCCAGAAGCACAAACCCCGGATAAGGGGCAGTAGAAGACAGCCAGTGAGCCCCATAGCGTGCTCTCTGTTCGCTGCCTGGGAGAAAACCCCTTCCTCAGGACATGCCACTTCCCCCGCCCTGCCTGCCCAAGCCGGGTCTTACCTGGACCTAGCTGAGATGGTGTCAGGACTGGGAGGGAAGCTCCTGGCAGAGGAGCCAGTGGCTCCAAAGAGACGGCCCAGCCAGACGCGTCAGGACCAGGAGGACCACTCGCCTCTGGATTAGAAGGTGCTGCTTCATTCCTATTCACACGAGGCTTTGGGGAAACAGCCAGGAGTTTCTCTCCAGCAGCGGGATCATCTAGCTTGGTGGGTGCTCCAGCAGGCACGATGAGGTCTTCAGGGGAAGAGGTCCCCGAGGTGTCAGCACTGCTGCTGGGCTTTGGACCAGAGAGTTCAGGGACAGCTTTGGTCTGAAGGAGCTGCAGCTCTGTGCCTCCAGGTTCATTCACAGATGTTTGGGGTCGCACAGCCTGGCCAGGGACGGAATCCCCCGCAGCCATCCGTATCTTTGTCCACCAAACAAAGGGGAACTTTTCCTTGCCAGGAGCAATGTAAATCCTGGAGGCCTGACTCAGCTGGCCCCACCAGCCACCGAGGCCAGCCCCGGTGTCCCCAGGGCCTGCCTCAGGCCTGTGGGTCTCCGGGGAGCTGTCAGATCCCAGGAAAGTGCGACTGATCTGGTCACCCCAGCGCAACACATGCTGGAAGGTCTGCTGCAGGGCAGCCCCCACCTGGGGGCCAGAGACCAGCCCACGCACAGATGCTTGGGACTGGGACCTTCTGCTGCCCTCTGCATTGGCTTCCCTCCCCAGAGTATCAGGGGGGATCCCATCTTCCAGGCTTGCCCCTGCAGCACTGCTCTGGCCCTCCAGCGAAGGCCGCACAGCCCCTCGAGCCTGAGCGGAGTGATGGGCAGGAGACACGGGTGACTCCAGGCGACGAGACAAGGGTCTTACATCTACGGAGAGGTGGTGGTGTTCAAAGAGCAGGTCAAGGTGGAAAGTCAGCACCGAGAGGGGCTGGATGAGCAGCAGGAGTTCATCAGCGAGGTGCGGAAGAGGGCCTTGGCTCAGGGCAAAGAAGGCCGTGGGTGAATAGAGCACAGAGATTATACCTACGAGACATGGACAGCGTTGGATAGCTGCAAAATGCCCTGCCCTTGCCCACACACCCCTCCCAGGGCCAGCTGGTCTGTCCTAGAAGGTCAGACCACCTTCTGCTGAGAGCTGTACTGAAGATGCACTATGAAAGACGACGCCCTTATCCGCTAAGGAAATCCCAGCCAAGCATTGTGGGTGGAACAGGTATGGGATTATCACCCTGGCAAGCAGGACAGGACTTGGGTGGGGAGCTTCTGGGTACTGTGTCCTTACCTGGGCTCTTCTGCAGGTGAGAGACCCACAGCTCCAGCTGCTTAATGCTAAACAAGACAAAGGGAACCCAAGTTAGAGCTCTTGGGACTCTGTTCCAACCTGCCGTTGCAGCAAGGACAGCCTGGGCCAACAGGGCCAGTACTCACTTCAAAAGGCCGAGGATAAAGGCGTGAAACTTCTGTCTGGTGCTGTTGAGAGGGGCCAGCCCGGCCACGTGCCAGCATAGGGACTGGAGAGAGCGGGTGTTGGGGCCTGAGGAATACACCACACAGTCATTGCCCTGCGCAGGCATCCTCCCCCAGCCTGGGCTGGAAAAGGACTCCAGGCACCTTGAGATGCCAACAGCTCCAGGAGCACGCTCCTCATACCAACCTGTCTTCACGGAGGCTTCCACCACGCTCCAGGGGGAATTTTTCCTCTGGCCTGTGATAACATCCTTCTGGAACGGCTTCAGCCCGTCCTCCACCAAGGCGTAGAGCGCAGGGCAGAGGGTGTGCAGCAGCAGGTACCCTACATCCGGGCTAAGCCGGCTGTCTCCCAGCTGGGCCTGAAGTAGGGAGGCACAAGGAGAGGAGATGGAGGGGAACAGCAGCACCTAACTCTGAGCCTGCAGGGAGGGATGGTGGGATCCTCCCCCTGAAGCTCCCAAAGCCCCTCCTGCCCAAAGCCTGCGTGGCCTGCCCTCACTCCTGCCCACCCCAGCTCAGCCAGAGCCTCAGCCCAGACCCTCACCTTCTGTACTAGGTTCCGCGCAGTGCTGAAGTGGGCGACAATCTTGTCCACGGCAGTGCTGACGGAGATCAGCAGGGCTGTCGGAGAACAGAAAGGAAGATGTCAACAGGCCCCTGCCCCCCGTGCCACTGCAGCACCTGCCTCAGCCCATCGACAGCATGTGGCTGGCAGCGGCTGACCAGCATCGCACCAGCCACGGTTGCAGCAAGAAACAGCTCTGGACGGGTGGGCAGGCCCTGGCCCAGGGTCACGGAGCACCCCAGGCTGCTGCCGTGGGAACCTGTAGCTCTCGGGTGCAGGGATGAAGGTCGTGGGGGATGAGGCCAGGATGGAGACGTGGGCAGGAGACCCCCAAGGTGCCTGCAAGATGCCGGGGCAGCCCCACCCCCGTTCCCCGGCTCTGCAGCACTACCA